CTAGCAGTCTTCCAGAAGAGTGTTAGTCCTGTGTTCAGATATAGCCCAAGTGACAGGTCACTGGGGCAGAGAAGTTCAATGGTGGCAACCTGTTACTTGGGGAACTTGAATGGTAGCTAAAGCCTGCTCCCTCTTCCACAGTCACTCAAGCTCATCCCACCACATGCTGAGGACAGTGATTAGCAGTTGTTTTCCCTGCCAGCAGATGGTACTGGATGGGAGAAGAAACACAGGCAGCAGAATCCACCAATCACTGGTTTTAAATGCTTCCCCATGAGAGTTATAAGAACAGCATGGTCATTAGCTTCTTCACTAAGGTAGATTACAGCTTGGGAGCAGAACATTTATGTTGACATACTGCTGACTCCAGAACTGAACAAATGCATATTAATGTAGCTACGGGGAGGATTCTCTAGATCTCTCTACTGAATAGGCATTGGTGTGTACAACTGCACACACACTGCTTTTCTTGCAAGTCTTGAACTCTAATAGTACAGGTTCATGTTTCTACGCTAGTGACTATGTACATATAAAAAGCTTTTCAGCATAGACATCTCAATTATACATGCAAATTCCAGTGTCAAAACAATGCTGGTTGGTCTTATTGTTGCTTTTTGCATGGTGACTTAATGCTTGAATAAGCTAAACAAATTCTCTATGTTTGCAAAATTTTAGCCAATATATTATTTACCTATTTATTTATGTATATGTAATCAAACAGATTTTCATGGACCTGTGCTGGCAGAGAATTTATGGCTTTGGGGAATTCTGGATGCAAATCTATAACATCTGTTATAAGTGCTTCTTTGGTATTACCTCATGCTAAAGTTGTTAGGGAAAAAAAGAAGTGGTGTAATGGATTGAGGGGATTACTTATTGGGGGCTTTGTGGTATGCCTTTCCATAATGTTCTGTGGAGGGAAAAGCATATGATATGTGATTGATTGATTGATTGATTGATTGATATATATATGAGAGATATCACACAGATCCAACATTTTGCATGGGTACCCACATTTCTGGGTAGCAATTTGTTCGATATTGCTGAAATAGCAGGAAGAAATATGTAAAGTAAGAGTTAGCTGATTGACCAGCATCTCAAGTTCCAGAATGAAACACATGAGGATATCCATGCTCTGGTAATTAGGATCATAGATGGAGAAGAATGCAAATTAGGTTCCAGAACTGAGAGACTAAAAGTAGGCAATGCCAAAGTGATGTGGATAGTGAAATGTGAAGACATTCCATAGTTTGCTGTCGTCATAAGTTGCCCACACAGGAAATAAATTATTAATCGGTACACAAAGAATTTATTTTAGAGGTGATTTGAGCCTTGGAGAACTTTGAATAATATATAAAGATTATGGGAACAGCTATGCATCTGGTTATGCTTTGCATTGGTTATAAACAAATTCCAGTATGAAGTTGAGTCCCCTGCCTTAGCAACCCTTATCCCCCAATCTTGTAGAGGTGTCTGCAAAGAGAAAGCATGGATGGAAAATTTATTTCTTTGGACTTTCCTAAGTATTTTCAGGAATGAAAATTTCTAATTCACAGAGCTGAACTTATCCACTAGTTCTCTATATAGCAAAGCAAAATATCCAGTTGATAAGGTATGGCAGAAAACTACTTAAACTTCTCTTTCAAACTTTTGTGGAAAATACTGCTTGAAAACAAGCAGAGAAATCTCACCACTGGTCCTTTGTTGTGCGTAGTTCAGTTTCCATGGCAGTAGACAGTTTAGTCCAAACACAGGCAGCTTTTTCTACCAAAAAAAATTAAATAAAAAAGTGAAGAGATGCAGTGGGGGGGAGGGGATATAATCCAGTGAATTATAGGTAGCAGTTCATTTGCAAGCAACCACATTTGTTGTGCTGTAAATGCTCAAGTGAGTATAACACAGACTTCCCTATCTTCAGTATATACATCTGTATCATGGCTGTGCAAAGCATTCAAAAGGAGTGTTTTGCAAAGCATATTAGCATCATTAAAGTACTTCTCCTATTTCAAAGACTTCCTGGATATCTGTACATGCACCTGTATGCAGACACAACACTTTTGCTAGGACATCAATGAAATAAGAGGCTGAGCATCCACATGCATGACT